AAATTCCAAAAATCCCTCAAGCCCCAATTAAACCCCAATTGGGTGAGGATGACATATGTTGAATTTATCTAATTTTTTTGATTCCTCTTACAATATTTAAATTTTATAAATCTAAAGATAGCAAATCATTTAAATTAGTTTATATTTATTGGTATTAAGAAGAAGATAAATTATAGAAATATCAAAAATTAGAATTACTTGAACAGTGTAATTATATATCAATAGATAATATAGTTCAATATATATATATATATATTTAAGATTTAATAAAACAAATAAATATCTAATAAATAATTATATATTTTAATTTTAATTTATGGAATTAAATAATATTAATTAATGTTAAAATTAAATAAATTGTTTTTTAATAATAAATATCATATATTGTTATTAATTGGAATCTAATAAAATATAATTTATATCAATAAATAATTTTTTTTTAATATTAATTAATAGAAAGTATTATTATTGATATATATCGATTAATTATAATTTATTACTAATAATTATAGGTTAACTATTAATAAATAATTCTCTAAAAAATTTCTTGATAATAGGATACTATATTATGATTATTAAATGATTATATATATATAGAGAAGTAAAAATTATGTAACACTTTTTTTAGGTTTCGATTGATATTATTAAAATTAGATAATAATAACAATATGTATAATTGTTATTTAATTATATCTAATATATCAATATTGTTATTAAAAATTTTTTATATTATTTAAATATTAAAATATAAGCAAGTTAAAATTTAACTTGATATTTATTTTATATCTAAGAAATATTGTTTTTTTTTACAATATATAAATTGGTATATATAAATTAAATAAAAAAAATAGAAAAAATTTAATTTTAAAATATTCAAAAACAATAATTTATATTAATACTTTTATAACAGATTAAAATACAACTTTAAATAATCAATTGGTTTTTAGTTAATAAAAATAAAAGTTTAATTAGAATTCTATAAATTCTTTAAAGTTAATGACAATAAGAAAAATATTTTTTACTTAAAATTATTTAAAAAATTAATTAATATATATGTATAAAAAACAATAATATAATAGTAATAATTTATTTAAACAATTAAAAAAAAATAATCTTTTTAAAAATAAGTTAGTTAATAAACCAAATTTAAAAATATACATAATATAAAAAATTATTTCTTAGTAAAGCATATTTTAAACAATATTAATATTCTGACAAATTAAATTACAAGAAAAAAAAATAATAAACACAGATAATTAATATTTTATTTAATATTTTCAAATTTTAAAAAAATATAATTTAAATTTTTTTATAATTAGAATAAATAATTTTGTATATTTTGAAAAAAAAATTATTTGCAATAGTAACAAATATATTTTTGATATTTTGAAATAGCTAAAAGTATTAAATCAATTTATTGTAAATAATCTTTTTTTTTTGGTATTAGTTAAAATTAAGAAAAAAAATAACAAAGATAATTTTATTCTTTTCTTTATAACAATTAGTTTTATAATTTTTTTTTCTTTTATCAATATTCTTTTTCTTTTTTTTTAATTGATTTATTATTTAATTTAATATATTTACAAAAAATATAATATAGTTTTATTAGACAAGAAATTAAAATATATATATATTATTTATACTGCATATGTATATATTAAAAAAACAAATTATAAAGATTCTTTCAATATTTTTTTTTTAAAAAAAGTTTTTTGAAAAAAATTTCAAATGTAAACTTATTCGATCTTATTTGTATTTTGTGTTGATATTAATTCGCAAATTTATAATAATTTAATGATAAAAGTTCTAATGGAGTTTTCGCCAAACTATTTAATATGATTATATACTCTATTAAAAAAATATATATTGCTATAAAATAAAAATAATAATAATAATTTTTTTTTTTTTTTTGCAATTCGAAAAGTCGATAGGATATAATCCAAACTATCTGATCCAAACCTGAACATTGCTTTCCGAACATCTATATCTATTTGTGAAAATCTGTACTACGTAATAAATTAATGGTAAAATGATATCCTATGAATTAATGTTATATAAAAATAAAAAATAATAATGTAAAAGATAAAGAAAAGGTGATTATGCATTTTGATTGCTTTCATTATTTATACGTTTGGAAATCGATTGGTATTCTTCTTTCACGTCTGGAAGCTCATTTTTTGACCAACGTACAAAAATAAACCCTTTCAAAGCCGGAGAAATAAGATTAAGGTCAATATTAGGATTGAGTGCCCTAAGTTGTTCCACGTAATAACGAAAGTAAATGTCGAATGCATTTAAATCTTTTGGGCGTTTTCCATTGACAGGTTTTGAATGTTCTAGTATTTGTTGTTCGATGTCTATTGCGGGTAAATTCATGTTAGGATGATTGAGCTGTTCGATATTTACCACAGGTAAATTCATTATCGAGTTGATCAAGGTTTGGCTTGGAAGAGTTCATATTACAAATGGCCGTGAAGATGCGTTATTTAAAAAAAATTGTGCTTTTGTTCGAAAAAATAAATAACGTTCTATTCAATATCGTAAATTTAAACATACCAATAAAATGATTTTATGACAGGATCACGCGATTAACTGCGTAACTGCGTTTTTTGATTCCATGTGACATCGTCGAATAAGATCTTTGTAGTACAAATAATAAAATCCTTTTTTATCATTTTTTTGTTTTGAATATATTTTATCATCATTAGTAAGATTAGTAAGGAAATATATATATATATATTACTTTTTAAAGGTTAACAAATCAAATACCGTATCATTGGATAATTTATACTCGGCGAAAATGTATGCAATTAATGACTGGTTGTCATATATGGGATTTCATTAAGAATGCATTGAATTTAAAAACAAAAAATTGTTATATTGACCATGTAGCCACGTGTAATAGGATTCTAAAAGAAAATTTAATTAATTACTCATGTGATAAAAGTTATCTACAAATGACTAACTAAAACATTTTTTTAAAAATTTAATGATATGATATCCCAAATAAATGATTTTATAAAACAAGATCCCACCAATAATGTAATTTCATTCTTAGCCCCTGAGTGTTTTAAATCTACGTGATACCAATTTAGGTAACGCAAATTTTACTTTCGTGAGTCGTCGAGAGAAAAGCCGAACAAATGACGATGAGAAGAAGACATAAACTAAACAAGACAATAAGAATAAAATTTATATACTTTTTAATACAATGAAGAGAAATCTATATCTCTACTCTAGAGAAGATAAGCGAGTTTCTTAAACAGTGCATAATATTTTTTTCTTAGAGTAATTTTTACAGTGTATTAAAGCTGCCTGAAGGCAAACAAAATGACACAAGGGATTTCATATATTATAAATTGCTACTCTAGTCTTTCTCTCAAATCCTACAACCGATCCAACTTGGCTCTTAAGTCAAGATTCTTGCATAGCCGATCGTACTCCTGCGTATATTTTCTGCTCGCTTTCCTCCATGCCATGGAAGTGACTAGAGGTAATGAATGCACGTAAGTTTTTGCCAAACTTTCATCATTATTAAAGTGTTCCATCAAACATTTTCTCGTTTGTAGGAAAAACAGATAGAAAGCAGGTGAGTCGTGGATATTTAATTTTTGAATTGGGTTTTTGAAATGATAGGCATTGATCAACGATAGAGCTTCTTCACAAGTGATAGCAGATACACGAACTTGTATGTTGTCGGGGAATTTTACTTCCACTATTTCATTTATCATTCTGGAGATTTCGAGGTGAGATCATCTAGGTGATTGTTTTTGAACTTGTTGATATTTAACGAGTGGTCGAAATTATCGCGATCAAATGAACGAATTAATAAACGAACGCTTTAACTTGGTTTTCTTTAGTAGGTACCGGAACTCAATAATGAGTGAGAAGTTATCTCCATTTCAATGCACTATATTTATAATCATTTGTCCTTGAACATTACTTCTAAATTTTCCCGCATAAAAATTATTTTTTTCCACAAAAAGCAATTTACTATTGTTACTCTACATTCTCCTACCTTCGGGAGAGACAGACGCGTAAGAAATCATTTATTGGTAATTCGTTCTCGTTCATTAACAAATTTTGTTAACAATCCATATTTTCAGATCCCAAAATAGTAATCTAATTGTTGAATTTCAAAATCAGAAATGTTGGTCTTTCATAATGGAAAAATTAGTGTATGAATTGGCGAATAACATCAAGAGCTGATATTTTGACCACACAACTTTTGCGTCAGGAAGATCCACAAATCAGGAAGCACTGTCACCTAACGAGATGATTGTACATCACTATCAGAAATTTTTGTCTTATCAAATTGTTAAACTTCTCTGAGATTTACAGTAGACATGGGATGCATGATTGTTTTGATTTTCCGGACATTGCAAACAAAGATGATTCAATTTCGCGTGAATAATCAATGATTATTTCACAAGTGTACTTTTTAACCTTGTATATCGTGTCTGTCTTTTGTTATGATTGTCACGAAGAGTTATTTTATTGAGTACAATATTTTATATATTTATGGTTATTTTTAATATACTGTACATGTTTACGAACGTGTCTCATTGTTGGACGATTATGGAAAGTTAAAAAAAGGCTGATGGCTGTTTGTAATCATACATTTTGCATATCCCTGAATTTTGGTAAGTCTTTTCGCGGATGTAAGTGATGCAGGATGCCATTACATCCTAACATTGTAACAGCTTGTCCTTTTACTAACAAATAAAAACTATACAAGCATTAATCGATTCACTATATATAAATTCATTATACAATGAAGGGTATATTATAAATAATGTAAACAATATTTCGTAAGAATTTTTATATTTTTAAATAAATAATTTCAGTTTTAATGAATTTTATCAAAATCAAATGAATAAAATAATCTTTTTTATAGTATGTACAGTATTTAATAAACTATCGTAATTAATTGATTTATGATAAAAAATTGTTGTTATTTTCATAATTTTATATAATCACATATTTTTTTAACATTATAAAATAATAATATTTTTACAATGCAACATTTATAGTAATGCTATATGCAATGAAATATTTTTATAAATAAACATATCTACTGTATAATATGATATTTTGCAAAAATACAAATATATTTTTATAAAAATTTTTAAATAATATTTTTTTTGATAAATACTATAAATAAATATTGTGTCTATATAATAAATAAATAAATTAAGTTTTAAATAGTTTTGTTAATAAATATAAAAGTTTTTTTTGTTGATTTTTTTTGTTAATTCCAAAATCAAATATTTACAAGAAATTTTTTTAATAAAGTCTATTACATACTTTTTTTAACAATATTAATTTCTAAATTAAATAAAAAAATCAGATTTAGTTATTAAATATAAATATATATTGTATATTAATCTTTAGACAAGCATATAAAGAATTGTATTTATTTATTATTTGTTTCTTTTTAAAACATTTTATTTACAATATTTAATTTTTATTTTTATAATAAAAAAATTAATAAAACAATATACTGTATTTTTTCAATTTTTAAATAATTTTTAAATGTATTTTATTTCTTTAAATTTTATATTGTTTAAAAAAATTTTATTTATTTAATTTAATATCAATTTTTAACTTATTTTTAACAATAAAAAAATAAATAATAAATATACAGTATATATATATTTTTAAATATATAATACAAAATTAATAATATAATTAATTATTAAATTAATTAAATAAGTAAATAATAATTAATAAGATTAAAGTTATAAAATATAAAAAAATTATTTTATTATTATTCATTATTTTTATTTTTATTAAAAATTAATTAAAAAAACTTAACAATTAAAAACTTATGGTTATGAAATTAATTATTTAATTTATTCAATAAAAAAATTTTTTTAAAATAATTAGTTTTTAAATTTTTATTTAAAAAAAATCCCAATATTATAATAAATTTTGTTATTTTTAAATATAATAATAAATTATTATTATTATTATTATTATTGAATTTTTAATTATTTTATTTTATAAAAAAACTCTCTCCTGATCGCGTCCGTTTTGTTAAAAATTTTCCTTTTATGGTAATTTTAAGCAAGAAAAAATG